TCCAAAATGAAAGGGAGGGAAAAATCAGCATATGCCAACACAGGAGCTGTGGTGAGCTTGGTCTTAAGGGCCTCAAAACTGCGTTGGCATTCCTCAGACCAGTTCCCTGCCACTGCACCCTCTGGTCTCTTCCCGGATTTTGTGCTCCCCAGCTTGGCTACCAGCTGGTGCAGAGGGGCGGCCAACTTGGCAAAGCCCTTCACGAACCGGCGGTAGTAACTGGCAAAGCCAAGGAACGACCGCAGTTCCGAGATGGTGCTTGGAGGCTGCCAGTCGGTTACCACTTCAACCTTACTGGGGTCGGTGGAAACACCCTGGTCCGAGATCACATGCCCCAAATACCGCACCTCCTGCTGGAAAAAGGCACATTTAGCAAGCTTGGCCTTCAGGCCCTGATGTTGTAAACGCCCCAGAACAACCTCCAGTCTCTCCAAGTGCTGCTCAATGGTGGAAGAGAACACAACAATGTCGTCCAAGTAAATCAACAAGGACTGACACTGTTGGTCCCCGAAGAGCCGCTGCATCAGACGTTGGAAAGTACTGGGAGCATTGCAGAGCCCAAAGGGCATGCGATTCCACTCGAAGAGGCCAAACGGGGTGCAGAATGCCGTTTTAGGCCGATCCGCTTCAACCACCGGGACCTGGTTGTATCCACTGGCTAGGTCCATGGTGGAGAACCAACAAGCACCAGTCAGAGCGTCCAAGGACTCCTCAATGCGGGGAAGAGGAAACGCATCTTTCCGGGTCTTCCGGTTCAGGGGCCTGTAGTCGACGCACATGCGCAGACTACCATCTTTCTTCTTGGCGAGGACGATGGGTGACGCATAGGGGCTACTGCTCTCCCTAATTATCTATGCTTCCAACAGCTTGTTAATATGCTCTTTAACTAGGTCGTAATCCGACGGAGGAATGCGTCTGTACCGCTGACGGACTGGGACATCATCCAAAAGCGGAATGCCATGAGCGATCAGATTAGTGCAACCCAAGTCGCTGTCATGACAAGCAAAGACAGACTCATACTTGCTGAGAAGCAACCTCAGCCGATCCTGCTCCTCAGCAGGAAGGGGAGACAAATCCATGGCCGCTATCTGCTCCGTAATGGAGGGGGCAACTACATGGGAAGCCACTGTGGCAACAGAGGAGGGTACCTCTGTAACGCCTGCTGGCAGGCTCACAACGCTCACCACCTCCAAACTCCCTACGACTGTGCGCGGGTAAAGCAGCACATCAGTGGAACCCACATTTACAATGGGGATGTATGCAGTCCCCCTTTCCACTTTGACCAAAGATGGTGAGGCAAGTAGCCCGGCTGGAAGGCCAGAGCCTCGTGGCTCAAACAACACAGTGGTATTTGCGAAGTGCTCAGAGCAGGTAGCAGCCACAATCTTAAATGTACCACCTGGAATCCGCCAGGCCTTCCGTCCCCGCACCATGGCTCTTCCACAGGCGGGCTGAGGGGGCCGTATACTAGCTTGATGGCACTTTTGCAGAACTAACTTAGGAGCCTGTGATACAGAGGGTAAGTCAAAGAGGGCCAAACCATGTCGCCCGAAGAGTTCGCCATAACATCGGTGGATCACATTCATCCCCAGCACCCCAGGGGCCTGTGCAGACATACCATTGGGCAAGTCCTTAACCACCAAAATGCCACACTTTGGCATCAGCTTACCGCACAGTTCAATATCCAGTTCCATGTACCCAAGGTAAGGGATGTCTAACCCATTGGCTGCACGGAGCTGTAGCCAGTCACACAAGCGCAGTTTCTCCGGGCCCCACGGCTCAAAATGCTAATGGAAAAAGCTCTCCGTGATGGTAGATACCATGGATCCAGTATCCACCAAACAAGGAACAGCAATACCCCCAATATTAATACACATATGGGGGCAAGAGGACATGAGGTTGGGCATTTCTGAACCACCTCCTGTTCTTGAGCCAATATCACTGCCCGCCGAACTGTGACTCAACAGCTCGGCGGGTGGTAGTTTTCCGCAGGCCGTGAAGGACTGTGTTGTACACTTGTCTTCTGTGCAGGCAAAGGCTGCTGCGGGCGAGGAACACGGACCCCGTCACATTCCCTAGCAAAATGTCCTGGTTGGTGGCATCGCTTACAGATAACTGGGCCCCACTGTGAGGGGCGGCCCTGGGAATGAGGGCCCGGCAAGCGAGAAATGCTTTGTGTAAGTTGGTTGATTTGCTCTTGCTGGAGTTTAAGCATCTCCTTCATCTCCCTTAGCTCGGACGCCAGGGGTGGCTTGACGGACAACTGTGGGCCACTTGTAGCTCCACACTGAAACCCAAGAACTGAGGGGACAGAATAACTTCTGCCCCTGGCTCCTCCTGGCAAACCCTCCCGCTCCCATTGGATCGCCTCAGCCCGGACTTCAAGCAACGTAGCGGTTGGCTGCCTACGCACAAACTGCTTCAATTCGCGACGAAGAGCACCATCAGTTACGTGTTCAACAAACTGATCGCGCAGTAAGACCTCAGCATTATGCACGTCACTAGGGGCGCGCTGTTTAACAGATGCCATAAGGCTCATTAATGCAAGGGAGAACTCCTGAAGAGTCTCGCCTTCTTGCTGTCGACGAGAAAAGAAGGCTTCCTGCAACCCTACATAGGGGTCAAAGCAACCATACAGCTCCTGTAATATCGCGATTATTTTAGCTGGGTCTGTTCGTTCTGCATCGGGCCGAAATCTTATTTCCTCACGTGCCTCTCCCTCAAGGTGATCTAAGAGGAAAAAAGCCTGGTCGGATGCAGCCAAATGACGCGCTCTAATACACGCCTGCACCTCCTCAATCCATTCACTAATGCCAATCCCTGACTTTCCTCTGAACATAGGGCATTTCCTATCTCGGGGCACAAAAACAAGTCTCTCTGTTACAGTACCAACAGTGGCCGGAGGCCGCCGCATCAAGGGCAGGCCTGGCCGCCACCTGTTCCTGTCGCAGCCTCTCATTATCCGCCTTTAACTGTGCAACTAAGTTCCTTAAATCCTGCAGTTCTGTATCCATAGCTACACACCCCCACCAACAGAAAAAAAAAAAAAAAATAATAATCTACCTGGGGCAGCGGCGTATTAAGAGAAGGGAAAAAAAAAAAAAAAAAAAAACCTAGTTGGATTTTTTTTTTTTTTTTTTTTTTTTTTTTTTTAAGTCTAAGTCACAGCAATACACACAACTGTTCAACCCCAACCTGGACCAAGAGAATACAAATATTTAACAATAAGAAACACAAGAGCAAAGGGAAGAGAAGAAAAAAATAAAAGGGAGAAACACACATCTCTGCTCTTAGTAGGTCCTACCAGCAACGCCAGAATGTGGCAGCAGGGTGGTGTATACAGGAAAGAGAACCTGATACTAGCGATTTCTAATGGACCAATAACGCCACCTTGGGAATTTCACCCAAAGAATTAATTTTAAAGGTAGGATACGTAGATCCGTTCTACCATAAAGAGAGTCAGAGACGTGGTTATAATTTAGAAAAAAAACAGCAATTCTTTATTTAAACATGATTAAAATAACAGGTCTTGTTAAAATATACTACCCACACACACGGGAAGGCGAGGGGGGAGCCTAATTCAGGTGCTGAGGCTTACCTGATGGAGTGGGTCGAGGCGAAGTGAGGAGTGATCCCAGTAGATAAAGCAAAACAGAAAGGAAGGCACCCCAAATCACTCGTGGCAGCCACTACACACATGCACTCTGTAAAACAATGGACTAGAAGGGGGCGGCACTGCACACCAAAACGGGAAGTCCCCACCACCAGGACACCAGGAACCACCACGTCAGCTCTCAGCAACTGAAAAGACAAAGAGGGGCATAAATAGCTTTTCACACACACACGCGCACACACACTATAAGGGGAGAGAAAAAAAAGAATAACCCAAAAAAAACAAACATTAAGAGTCACAGGAACAATTGGAACCCAAAATGCAATTCCCCATGGACTCAGGCAACCCAGATAACTGAATAAACTCAGGATAAGAAAAATAATACCGGGAATAATAACAATCAAGAACCAGTCCAGTAACAGAGGTTGAACAATTGTCACATAAACAGCCCCTTGAATAATCCAGCCCAGCCTATGCTGCTGGAAGAGGGCAATTTCTGCTGCAGGCGGGCTCCAAGTTTAACCAGCCACGATACCGGCTGATTAAGGCGTCTCAGTCCGCACCGCCGCGGTTAAACAACAATTGGAACCGAGGTGGAGCCGCAGCTCAGGCGTCCGACTGCCGGTAGCTATCAAAAAGCTGCAGCTGAAACGTGTCAAAGCTGTGTTGTTTCTCCCAAGTTAACGCCGCTGGAATTCCCCAGATCACCAGGCCCCACATAGACCTGTCAACAAAATATTACTACTTTGTGGAGGAGCAGGAAGTGAATGTGTCAAATTGTCATACAGCATACATACCGATCAGGCCACCAGAGAAATCCCACTGAGGAAGAGGACGGAGGCAAAGCTGCCGATTGCGGCCAGGTTTGATTGACGCGCTGATCACGAGCGCTGCAACCGGGTGTTGTGAATTTGGCGCTATATAAATAAACTGAATTGAATTAAATATCAGTTTTATGCAGAATGATTACTGATGAAAGTAGGTAAGTAATGACAATGGAAAAGATTTAGCCAAAAACTCAAACCTCAAAGTATTTTATGCACTATATCTTTTATCTAGAAAGCAGGGATGTTTGAATATTATCGTCTATTTGTTAGCAAAGGCTGTAGGAAAGTATAGTTTGTCTTCATTTAGAAATTATAGATGTTTTGCTCATTCATTTTCCTGTTGGAACAGTGTAGATTGACCCTGAGGTTCTGGTGCTTATCCGCTTCGGCCCCCCTCAGTGTACATTGGTTATTGCCTGGCCACCCTTATAAACATCTTCTGGCTATGCCTCTGGAAATCTATCCCATTTTTTTATCTGATGTGTTTGCGTTAGAATGTTTGGGTCTATGGTCTTTTACTTTGAAAGAGTGGCTGAAAACCACTGCGTAAACTCACGCGCTTCACCACCACCGTTGGGAGAAAACTGAAGGGCTCGCGCTTTCACGTGCCAAGGTAAAAGAGAATCTGTTGAACACCGGGTGGTCATAATCTGAAACCAGGTGAGAGAAGAGGGGGAAAAAAGATATTAAAGAAAAAATAAAGGCGAGCCATGAAAAAACACCTGAGCCCCACGAAGCAGCAGCATCATCACCATCAGCCGCCGCCCCCACCGACAGACATCCCGGCTGCAGGCGGTGAGGTTACCGTTCAGCAGCTCAACCAGCTTCTCTCCGACGGCAGCGGCTTCTACAACCTCCCCACCCAGCACTACAACGAGGTCTTCCCCAAGATTTATATCGGGAACGCGTGAGTGCTGTTTTTTAATGCAAATGCATCACCCACGGAGGCAGTCTCGTGGATTGTTATTTTATTATTATTTAATTAAGCCGTGACAGGAGTGTCGCATGCTGGGCAACACGCGCGCCGGGGCGCGCTCCAAGTAAACAGCCTTTAGGCGGATGACTGGAAACAGTCCAATAATCAAACATTTCACATCTTTATTGATATAGATTCTTGAAAACAGAGACAACGTATGAAAGAAGAAATATCTCCATAGAATCCCTCCAATGTCACTGCCATGTCTTCAACCAGCCGCTCCCATTCTATCCAGCTGGGATGCAGACGCACAGCATCCAACAGCTCTCACTTCATCCTACAGTTTGTTCAAACACTAAAAAACTTTAAATGCATTAAATGCAATATTACATTTTCATAGTCCCGAGCAGAATCACTTAAAACTTTAAAATCTGTGGTAGAAATTGTTTAAATCCATCAAAATTAACCGTATTGTCGATTTGTTATTTAAATGTTTGTGATTATAGTTGTTGAATTAAAAGTGCACAGTTACTGTTTTTTTATTTTTTTTAGTTTTAACATAAAGGTCCTATAATCTTTTTAGGTAGAGATGTGAACGCTGCACAAATAAAGTCCAGTCTTCACATTATCTTCACATTACTGGCAAACAATAATTATCACACATTAAAACATGCCCCAACTCATTTTTTCATTTATCCTTTATTTAACCAGGTAATACCCTTTGAGATTAAAAATCTCTTTTGCAAGGGAGACCTGGCCAAGATAGGCATCAAAATTACATCACATCATTACATACGTACAAAACACACAAATAAAAGCTAAATATGCACTAACAATAAAATTTCAATTAAAACATTGACATGTGAGGGAATCTAACTCATATTATTATTTATCATTTAAAGACCTTTAATCGAACCAATAAGTGTAAATCTATTAGTAATCTATTAATGTAATTTAAACAGATTTATGTATGAAGGTGCAATATAATTGACCAAGCTGACAAACGATAAGACAAAGTAATCAATATCCTTCAATGGCAGATATAAATAAATGAGATAAAATGAAAATATTTTCAGGCTTTCAGCCCTGTTTGTGGACCTTCTATCTGCTGATATTAAAGTCGTAGGGAAGTCATATTTAAATGTCAAATCATTTTGGGTTAAACATATATATAAATGTACTATTTATCAGACTATATTGTCCCAAAATTTAGAACATTTCTGTTTAAAAAAGTACCTTTTGTAAAATCTGTGGATTTTTTCCCCCCTTATCTTATGCAGGCCAGTTAGTTATACGTCAGCCTGTTCACCTAAATTCGGCCAATCATATGTCAACGGTTATCTGTCAATCAAATTTTTTTGGTCATAGCATCTTGACTCATATGTCGCAGCTAATATACGCAACGGTTGAAATAAGAAATAAGAAAAATTTCCTTTCCCATTGAATTCCGTCCCAGTGTTCACGGGGATGGACGTCTGTGTCTTCTGCAGGCGTAGAGCTAACAGAACTGGCAGCGTTGCGAGGCAAGGGCTCAAACATGGACGGCTGTAAGCCTTCTACACCAAACCAAGCCTCTGTCGCCCTGGCATCCTCTTCCACAACATCTTCATCCCCACTTTCCTCCTCTAGATAAAAAATGGATGACGGAGGAGACTCATCGACGACCTCCGACACTAAACTCTCCTCCTCTTGCATGTTTCCGCTGTCCATAGCGTTCCTTGACAGTGTCATTTCTAAGTCACCAATTTAGTGCTACTTGGTCCCAATGGAATTTCCCATTGGGAACCTACCAACACTAAGTTGCTAACTGGTTAGCAAGATGCTTCCGAGAAAGTGGCCACAACCAAAATGCTTGCGAACCTTCTGCCACAACAATCCCATACCCCTGATAATCACTTTATTTACTCGTGTAAAGTCGGGCACCTATCGGGAGAATTCGGAAATGCAATTGTTGGAACAGCCGCTTCCCTACGACTTTTATTTCTTAAAGTGCTACTTTCACTTTGCATCATCAAAACATCAAGAGAACCTAACAATATCTGGGGATGCAACTGTTGGAACGGCCATTTCACTAAGACTTTAAGTCTGGATGCAATAAGTGTAATTCCAATGTATTTGGAACCTCAGGGTGGGCCTAGGGGGTTCATGCAAGAAAACGCTCAAACAGAAGGTCCCTGTCAGCGGACTTTAATTGATGCTCAGAGCTCCAAGCTTGACCTCTAAGGTAAACTTTGCTAACCTAAAGAGGAAATTATTTATAATTTAATTTTTGATACAGCATTTCTAGCTATCTCACTTAGAAACGGTGATGGTTAAAGCCCATATTTCAACACATCTATGTCATGAAAGCAGTTTTTCCCCCCCCAGCAAGCCTGCATTACCTGGGCAGATCAACTGCTTTGAGTGATTGGTGGGTTCAGTCTGAGCCACAGTTTAAAAATGTACATCGAATTGATTAAATGAAATAATCATTAACTAATTTAGAAATCAAGTAATTCATTACAGGAGTGTAAATTTGCTGAAGGAACAACTTACTAAGCAGTTAATTAAACCAAAACTACAGTATAAATTTTATATAAAATATGAATAACATTCTCTGTCTTTAAATATGCTGCATCCAAAACTCATCAAGCAGAATATCTTAAGCTTTAGTTGGATTGTTTCTTAAACAAATCTTCTATTAGGCACCAAAAACCCACATAAGACTAAATAGCTACATAACTTCAAACAGTCTGCAAAAACGCTTAAATATGTTCTGTTGTAATTAAGCACTTTACATGTATTTGATGTTCTTTTTTGTGCAACCTTCCATACATCTTGAGGCTACCAGAACAGAGTAGAATGAAGGGTCAGCATAACAGGATGTAGAGCACATTTCTGTATCTGCGTGCTACATTAAAATCAATATGAATATGTCTGTCTGCTGGGGCGTGCCTCCAAGCGAAGTGCTGGCAATCCTGCGCTCAGTGGAAGCTCATCACACAATACTGCAGGTCTGAGAGGCACTTTGATGTGCTTTCAGCCTCATAAATTTCCTTTGAGAATTCAGGCTTTATGTCTGATGATGAAGTTTTGTTCCCTGATTATGAAGAACTGAGTATTCAGCCTTCATGGCTATCTTCAAAGCTAACACACAAGAAGACTTTTAGGGAGTTGTTTTATTGTGTGAATGCTAAAAAAGCAAAAGTAGATCACTGCATTCAACCTACCTTTATGTATTTATCGTAAAGGAATGATATATATCTATCTTTTGTGCATATGACTGCACAGAATAATTTTTTGGCATCTACTTAATCATAATTAGTTATTTAAACATAATTGTTTATGTCCTACCCTGCTAACATGAAAAAAATGTGTTAAAGTAACTAAATATGATTAAGTTAATGCCAAAAACGGTGCATTATTTTTGCTCAGTGTGCATACTGATTATAGCTTGTCAATATTTAGCTGGTTTAGCTTTTGTCTTTGATACAGGAAACCCAGGTTCGAAACTTGTTTGTGGAAGGAAGGGCTTCCTGGTAGCTTTATTTATAAAGCATCATAAAAACAGCAGGTAAGGGGCCGAACAGACGGCATGCATGACTAAAATAAATAAAAATAAGGACATTTAAAGGAAATAAAAGTTGGAAATAAAGAGTTGATTTTTGAAAATGGAGCCTAGGTTGAAGTTCAACTGAATAAACTGATTACTCGCCTTCATCCGCCTAGGACACAGCCAATCAGCTTTGAACCCTGCCTCCACGGAAGCCAGTCAGCATCCAAAGTGCATCTTAAAACGCATCCGATTGGCAACCTGTCTGCTGCCTAGTGTGCAAGCGGTGGTTACGTTGTGTCTGACTTCGATTCAGGTGATCCCGTTTCAACCCACCTCCAGCCCCTCCTCCACCATCGTAGCTAAAGCTTAATGTCATGAGTGTCATTCCTCCCGGACTCTTACTGCGTTCCCTGTCTCATCTCAAGAGGTCTGGCAGAAGACGGCCATGTTGAGCCTGGTTCTGCCAGAGGTTTCTTCCCAACGGGGATTTTTCCTCTCCACTGTCGCTTCATGCTTGCTCATCATGGACAGGTTCCCTAACCTGTGTTATTCAAACTGGACTTCCATCTTCCAGGTCCCTTAGTGAAGCTCTAGTATCAGCTCATGCAGTCCACTGGATCTCCCCATAAAGCTCAACATACCGTCTTGCTAACCAGCAGTCTACAGACTGACCAACTTCATCTATCTCCACTCCACCACAAGTTTCAGGCCTGGGGGGAAACAGCCCTGTTCTTTACTCCTGTTCATGCATATCTATCAAAATTAAGTGCTATGTTTCCTGTCGAGGTTTGAGCACCAAATAAAGTAATTGTATCTATACATTTCTTTTAATTGTCTTTTCTCTCCATGTGAGTTTTTCAGATTGAAATGTCTATTGGAGAGAGCAGGAGAATACAGAATGTTGAGTCTAGTGGGAGGACTGGGCTTTTGGTTAGTCGGTATCGTCATGTCATTGATCTCTAGCGAGCGCTACCTGTGTTCCACCATGGAGGAAGCAGCTACAGACCTCAGACAGGATCGAGGTTAGCCCTGCCCACCGACTAAAACTAGCAGATGTTTTCTCATGAACCTATTAGAGATATTTCAAACCAGAGGCGTTTCCTGGACCTTGGAACATTGGGGGCTGAGCCCACACCCTATTAGGGGAATTTAGCTGGGAAAAATTTCTTTTTGTAGAAGCATTCTTGAGCATTTTTATATGAAGCCAAATACTGCAAAATGTACAGCCCACTGTATATAAACATCTAGCAACATAATTTTGGTTAAATATCAGATCAAAAGGTTGCAAAGAAAGAAAGAAAACAATTGTCACTCTTGGATGAAACAAAGAGCAGGGGTGAAATACATTTTTAATTCTTACTGGTACTACATAAAAAGTTAGTGGTTAGTGTTTTCTTACACCCTGCATGCATCCTAAAATATACAGACCAATATAACCTACATATAAAAGCGAAAT